CCGACCGGTTAACCCTTTGCACTCGAACCCCCTAGGGCGCCGCTAAAAATTGTTTCGCACCGTTTCTGAACAAATTATTGTAATAACAGCATGTCAGATTCGTTTGTACTAGAAAAAAGAATCGTTGAAATCGCGATCATTGAGTAATTATTGTGCTTGAAATAAGGGCGCAGAGTTTCGCGTGCACGAGTCGCAATGAAAATATATTCGCAATATAAAACGGAAATATATCGCAATATGAATAGGAAATATGTCGCAATATAAATCGCAAATATATCGCAATATAAAACGGAAATATATCGCAATATAAAACGGAAATATATCGCAATATAAAACTGAAATATATCGCAATATAAAACGGAAATATATCGCAATATAAAACGGAAATATATCGCAATATAAATCGCAAATATATCGCAATATAAATCGCAAATATATCGCAATATAAATCGCAAATATATCGCAATATATATCTCAATATATATCGCAATATATATCGCAAATATATCGCAATATATATCACAATATATATCGCAATATATATCGCAATATATATCGCAATATATATCGCAATATATGTCGCAAATATATCGCAGTATAAATCGCAGTATAAATCGCAAATATATCGCAGTATAAATCGCAAATAGCCTCCAAAATTTCGAATTAGAACAGCGTCGACCGCAAAGGGTTAACAAACGAGGTTAACAAGGGTTCGATTTTTAACCTCGACGATTAACGTTCGAGCACACGTTTACCCGCGAGCGTGCGCGCCCCCCTCCTCTGTTCGTTCGTCTTACTCCGGAGGGAAAGAAAATCCTCTCCGATCGATCGGAAGACCTGCGTCTCGCGCGCGCGCGCACCGTTCTTACGCTCTCCGTAAACAAAGGGTTCTCCGACAAAATTACACGTAAAAAAGAAATAAAAAATAGAAAAAAGAAAAACGATCCTCTCTCGTCGCCCGGTCGTCCGAATTTTTCTCTCCGCTCTCGAGATGGTCGTCGTATTGTTGCTCGTCGAACGCCTATAATTGCGTCCTCGCAATCGCAAAGTTCCAGCTGTCGTCCAACGAAGGGATTGGAAGGCTTTAAAAGAAGAACCAATAAATTGAATTTTGATTGAAAACCATGTCTCTTGTCATTCTGCGAGCACCACCACCACCTCCCATTACCCCCTCCAACGTCCCACGTTTCAGCAACGATCCGTATTATTATTCCATAATTTCAGAAAGGACGACACGATCGACTATAATTAACACACAGCCGCATCTCACGAGATCGAAAAATTATAATCGGACGTTCCTTCATTCGGAATAAACTATATTCTTTGTTGTACAAATTTCGACCACGCTTCTAAGAATCAATCACTACCTCGATATTATTATTATTATTATTATTATTATTACTATTATTATTATTATTCAAAATTGGCCTACGCCATTGGTTTTCGTTCGCAAATATTATGTTCTCAAGTCCAACGAAAAGCTTTTCCTAGCTTCTTTTTCTGTGTATCTGTAGCGACCAAAAAAACAAAATTGAAATAAAATTAATATAAAATTGAAATAAAATTCTTGTCAAATTGTGCGAAAATTCGACGTTTCCATATTTCACGCGACGTCGTCTCGTAGCTCTGTCTTTTAATTTTTTAACCTCGATCCGTCGGGTTCCGTGGCTATTAATTAATTCGTGACTAATTTGATTTAATTGCTCGATCGAGTCGATCGTCGAACTCTGCGGTCACAAATATCGAAGCGTCGGTCTCTTAGAGACAACAAAAAGGTTTCGAGAAAAAGCTGTGCTGCAAAGCTGTTGCTTCCTTAGAGTCGACGTTTCCGTAGAGCGTTATAGCCTCCCTTTCTACGACACTGGATTAGCGGCGCAGGACGACGACGGCACCACTCTGCTCCCTCAACGTGTGGACCAATCGCCGGGAGAGAGCGCACACCTCCTTGGACGCTCCGTGGAACAATTTTCCAGGCACGTGTGTTCCGTTGTTGTTTTATCATATTATCAAGAAACCCGCGAGAACTTTTCATTTTGCGTTCTTCTCACCCCTTTCTCCACACCCCTCCTCCTTATCGGACTGCAACGGAGAAAAAAAACACGTTCGATCTCTGCTATCAAAGAAAACAAAAAGAAAATGAAAAAGAAAAGAAATCACCATCTCTCTCGCTTCATTATATTTCGTTTTGATCATTCTTGTCGAAATTTTTCTTCTAACAATAACAACAAAGTTCGTTCATTTGTTTTTGGTTTCCCGTTTCTTTTTCCATGCGCACCACCGACCACCCTCTTGTGAAAATTGCCTCGGGAAATACCGATCGAAGATGCATCCAGGTAATCTCGCTTTTATTTTACAATCAACAACAATCATTTGTTCATCATAACTGGTCATCGATGTATATAATTGTATAGTTTGCCCTTTTTGTTTACGATCGTATATATATATATATATATATATATATATATCATATATTTATGTATGTTCATATATATGTCATATATTTATATATGTTCATATATATCATATATTTATATATATTCATATATATCATATATTTATATATTTATATATATGTCATATGTCTGTCTCTTATACACATCTAGAGGTGTATAAGAGACAGGGGTTGAATTAATTGAACTATATATATACTGACTCTTATACACATCTAGAGGTGTATAAGAGACAGGGGTTGAATTAATTGAACTATATATATACTGACTCTTATACACATCTAGAGGTGTATAAGAGACAGGGGTTGAATTAATTGAACTATATATATACTGACTCTTATACACATCTAGAGGTGTATAAGAGACAGGGGTTGAATTAATTGAACTATATATATACTGACTCTTATACACATCTAGAGGTGTATAAGAGACAGGGGTTGAATTAATTGAACTATATATATACTGACTCTTATACACATCTAGAGGTGTATAAGAGACAGATATATATATATATATCATATATTTATATATATTCATATATATCATATATTTATATATATGTCATATGTTTATGTAATTTATATATATATATATATATATATATGGATACGTTTGTTGAGCCGACGAGTACCATCGGAATCTGCGAGCCTGAATTCCATCGTATTCCGCCGCGTGTCATCTTCAATCTCCCTGTGTATTAATATTCTCTCATTTCACGGAATCTCATGACACGCTCTCGGCGGTATGTCCCCCGCCCCGTTTTGCTTTTGAGTCGTTCAGAAATAAACATAGTGTCCCGTCTCGTCTCGTCTCGTCGACCGTCGCCGCCGCGGCACGCACAACGACCTTGTTCAAAGTCGTACGACCTTGTACTGCATGCTCTGGCTCTCATGGTTTGCCACGAATTTTTACGCTTGAATCATTAATTTGTAATCGCGCGTGTGGTAAATGTGCCGATCGAGTTTCAAGGGTGAAACAAAAAGTAAACAAAAAATATAATAAATTAATAATAATAAAGTAGACAGAAAATAAAGAAAAAAAAGGAAAAAAAATAAGAAAAATTGTATCGGCGACGTTTCTCGAAAAAGAGCGCGCACTCCTCGCATACATAAAAATCTTCATTAGTGTTTCGCGATGATGATAATTATGATGATGATTATGATGATGGTTCCACGTTCGTGTTTCATGGACGTGCGTGTGCGTGTGCGCGTGTGCGTGTGTGCTCTGGGTGAAAACTATACAAGGAGGCATTTTTTACGTTGGGTTGAATTAATTGAACTATATATATATATATAATAATAATAATAATAATAATAATATCACACGGGTGTAAAAAAATGGAGGAACTAATAAAAAGCAATTCATTTTTTTGGAGCAGCATGTAAATAACAAACGGCTCGGAATCAAGGAGACTGCGCGTACACACGTTGGCAAAAAAGAAAAATTGAAAATTCATTACCCTTAAATAACTTATTAGTTATTTCCATTGTTTCCGCCGATAAATCGCGCTGGCTAGAGAAGAAGCTATCTTTTTATCTGAGATTTCAATTCGAATAATTCCAATGAAAAAAGAAAGAAAGAACAAAAAAAATAGTATAGTATAATAGTAAAATAATAAAATAGTATAATAGTCTCGAATAAAATGTTCAATATCGAATAACATTAAATTTCCAAAACTTTGCACTCGAAGCATTTTTTTAGTAGACAAAATTGCATTTTATGCATACGAAATCGAGTCTTTTGTCACTCGTAACAACAGTTTTAACAATTTAAAATAGACTTTCAACGATTTTTTATAACCTAAGCTTTGATATTACAAAAATGATCTTTGAACGTGTTATATTGAAGTTATATTGAAGTTATATTGCAGTTATATTGCAGTTACATTGAATTATAATAAATTATATTGAATTTTATTAAATCATATTCAATTATATTAAATTTTATTATTCGGCGGTGTCTCGGAGTCACCGCTCGAGTGCAATTATTATATTATTAATAATAATATAATATCCGCGACTAAAAAAAAAAAAAGAAAAAAAGGGTAGAGAAAAATTCTCGCGTCTTTCACCGCAGTCTTCTTTTGCGAGCGAGCTTAAGCCTTGACCGTATATCGTCCACATGCTTGGCTCGAGCTTTCCCTTCTTCGTCGTTGTCGAGAGCGAGCGAGAGAAAAGAGAGAGAGAGAGAGGGAGAGAATGTAGTGCCCGCTTCGAGACTCCACTGTCGTGTACCTGAGCATAATAATGCATTGTCTTGAGAGGTTACGACTGCGAGCGAGAGAGAGAGAGAGAGAGAGAGAGAGGGAGTGAGAGAGAGCGCGCAGGGTGCCAGTGGGAGGGGAGAGACGAGTGTGCGACAGATACAGAATAATAAACTAGAGGACGAATTGGCAGAACCGAATTTAGAGAGAGAGAGAGAGAGAGAGAGAGAGAGAGAGCGCCCCGGGCGGATTTGAAAAATTGTCGGTTCATGGGCGGAGAATATTTTTTGGGGCGACCTAGAACAGTAAAGAACCCATATGTAAAAAGCCTCCCTGTATGCTTACAGCGAGCCCCATGATGGAGGGTGTCTCTGCCAGCGAGCTGAGATTTCGGTGTGTCATGTGCGGACGCGGATATAGATCACGGTCTTCTCTGACGCGACACTCCAGGTACGAGTGCGGGGAACTCGGGTCCAGGTACACGTTCACCTGCACCCTCTGCGGAAAGTGCTTCTGCCGGCCGGACCATCTAAAGCAGCACATCCTGAATATACACGGCGGCTCGGTCGCTAAATAGCGCTCTGTGACGCTGCGTAGCCGTTCTTTTGTTTATGTTTACCTCGAGAGGACGATTCTTTCTCGGCGGAGAGACTTTTCGCGACTTTTAGGACGACACGCACCATCCATCCATCCACCCGTTATAGCCTTTTCAGCTCGCCGAAGTTATTACTAGGATAATTGTTATTTAGGCCGGAATTGTTATTGTTTAGGTTTTTTAGATTCATCGTCGAACAGCTTCTGTTTTCTCGCATGGAAAATTCATCAGGCGTGGCTCGGACGTTTTTCATCAGATTTTCTATAATTATTGAGTTTTAAATATTGAAATTAATGGCATCCTCTTTTGCAGGCAGATGGTTTTTTTTCTTTAGGTATTTAATGTCGAAGTTCCTTTTTTTATTGAGATACGCGCGTCGCTGATTATTTTAGCGAAATTTAAATTGACGCTTTCTCGTTTTTTATGTTATTAGAAATATTTTTATCAGTTGAACTGAAGCACTTGGAAGTGGGAAATTATTATTATTAGTTATATTGAATTTTATTAAATTATATTCAATTATATTCGATTATATTCAATTATATTAAATTTTATTAAATTATATTCGATTATACTAAATATTATTATTAATGTTATCGTTAATATTATTCAGATTTTCAGTATTTTAATTGTTTGGACGTCCTTGAGACGAGCACAGAGTTTGTATGCTTTTTAAAATGAAAGCAAAACTAACGTCAAGTGTTTTACGACATCTCATTTGTTTGCTAATTTTAGTAATTTTAATTTGAAATAATCGCGAAAAGTATCTCGAGACAACGATGTTGACGTTGAATATTTGAAAAATTGTCGACCGTCTGCTTCCAAAAAAGGGCACCGCTTTAGTTTAAATATTTAAAGCTGCGCCATTGCGCGATTATAAAGTCTGATCGAAAATGTTGTAGCTACGCCCATGGACATGTCCTTATTGGACCGAGGGACAGTATTTTAGGATTCCCTAAAAAAGAAAAGCCCAGTGAACGAAACGCGTGGTCTTCTTTTTATTATCAAGATGACTGTTTACAGAGAGCGTTAAAAATGTTATTTAAATTTATTTAAATTTATTTAAATTTTATTAAATTTAAATTTATTTGCTATGCGGACATACCAAGGCCACTATTGTTATTTCTTTTTACACAGATTATTTTCCAAGAGAATTTTTGCGTTTACTTGCGTGGTACTTCTCATTATTATTTATTTTGTTATTATTCTTAAAATAATTCTTTTTATTATTTTTTATTTTTTTTTTTTGGAAAAAAGAAATCCGAATTTTTGCTTGCGAGAAGTTTCTATTTTTCTCCTTTTTTCTTTATTTCCTGTACAGTCGACGATAAAAAGTGTGCCCTGAAAATTCGAGTGTCAATTTAAATTGAAAAATTTGAATTCGGTGCGGAGCTGAAGAGGTTAGGCGTGTGCCGTTCGCGTGGAGTATGCGAGAGCATCGTTTCTCCGTCGGACCGGGACGTTTAAACGTTTCCTTTAATTTATTTGTATCGTATCACGTGGGTTCTTTTAAAAAACGTAATCCTATATAACTGGTGTAACAGAAAAAAAAAGTAAGTCCACAAGGCGCGACTTACGTGGGGTAACAGCCAACTTGTGTTGCTTACATTTTTTATTGTTCTTCGTTTCTTTTTAAAGATCGTTAGATAGTTCTCTTTTCTCCCCCACCCCTCACCTCCCACCCTCGCCGCTGCGATGATTCATTTGTTTTCCTTCGAAGCTGTTGTGTATATATATATATATATTAATACTCTCCGCGCGACCATTTTCTTCCTAACCTGTTGTTATCCAAAGGAATACCAAAGGGATTTATATAATAGGATTTTTAAATCGTACGTACAAACGCGTCAATTGTTTACACACATTATATTTTATATATATATATAATATAATATATTATCTACATAGAATCGAGTTTCTCTGTATATTGAACAAACGCGAATCGTGGAGTTGATATAATTATTTTATTCGTGTGATACTTTTCTTTTTTTCTTCTTTTTTTTTTATATAAGAAAGCAAATCTATCGTGTTCGATTCGATCGATACGCGCGCGCGCGCGTATATGTATGTGTATGATAAAACAGGTGCCAAAGCGTGTTTCGATGATTACGAAACAACATTTAAACGGCGACGAGCGTTGCCGCGGTTATATTCGAGGTTATTATTGGCGTGATTGCATTATAACGATAATCGNTATATAAATTAATCTAATATATATATATTAGATTAATTAAATTTTTATTAGATTAGATTAATATATATATATATATATATATATATATATATATATATATATATATATATATATATATATATATTTAAAAAAATTATATATACATATATATACATATATTTATTTTTTAAAAGATCTATATGTACATACATATACATATATATATATATTTAAAGATCTGTATATACATACATATACATATATATATTAAAAGATATATATATATACATACATACACATATATTTTTGAAAAGGTATATATATGTATAAGTATGTATATATAGACCTTTTAAAAAATATATATATGTATATGTATTAAAAAAAAATTATATATGTATATATATATGTATTAAAAANTATATATATATATATATATATATATATATATATATATATATATTTAAAAAAATTATATATACATATATATACATATATTTATTTTTTAAAAGATCTATATGTACATACATATACATATATATATATATTTAAAGATCTGTATATACATACATATACATATATATATTAAAAGATATATATATATACATACATACACATATATTTTTGAAAAGGTATATATATGTATAAGTATGTATATATAGACCTTTTAAAAAATATATATATGTATATGTATTAAAAAAAAATTATATATGTATATATATATGTATTAAAAAAAAATTATATATATACATATATATGTATAAAAAAAATTAGATATATATGTATGTACGTATGTATACATATATTTACATTGCATTTAAGGAGATTCGGGTCCTATTTGCCAAATTTATACCTGTAACAGCACGAGAGAATTAGGCGAGAGGTTTTTCGTGCCGGGAGAACTATAAGGAAATTGGTGTATGCCTCGTGTGTACATATACGAACTGCCAAATAATTAGATCACGAATGCCAAATGAATAATATTCCTATTTTTGTAGCTTAGCGCGATAATATATATATATTTGTAAGTTATTCTGTACAACAACAACAACAACAAAACAAAAAAAAACGATCGTACGTGTGCGCGGCGCAGCGATGTTGTGTGCGTGTGACGCTGCTGTATATATATGTATATATACACACGTATACATATATATATTGACATACGTATCGACCACGTCTCGCAAGCTGTGATCCTTCTATTTACCAAGCCGACAATAAATAAATGGCGGCTGCCGGTCGGACGCGGAGCCGGAGACCAAAAAGAACAAAATAGTTTTTTAAAATAATTATTCGAGCATTGCTGCACGTACTGCGAGACACTTTTCTACTATTATATTGTACGATTCGAATTATACTCGCGCGAGCGCGCGAAACTCTGTTAATTCGACGGTAAAAAGAAGTGAGGTTAAGTAATTTTATTTACACGGTCGTGTGCGTCGACAACGCGCGTATGCTTAATATTAATGGAAATCGATCGACGATTGTTACAAAATCGCGGAGCGTTATTTTTTTAGTCGTGATACAACGCCGTGCGCAGAATAATAATAAATATATATATAGAATAAATATAAATATATATATATATATTTATATATTATTATATATATATATTTCTAATTTAGAGAAAAAGGCCGATTTCAGACGTCGATTTACACAACGAGAATTCTAAAAAAAGGTATAAATTATAGAGGCTCGAGCAATATATTGTGTAACAGCTGTTGCTCGTCCGACACTTGAAATTTTTATCGAATGTAAATAAAAAGAACCTTGAACGACAACTTCTCTCTCTCTCTCTTACTCTTTCTTTCTCTTTCTCTCTCTTGCGTCATCCTTCCATCTTTGTTCCCCGCTTGTAGACATAACCTTATTCAAGTTCCTCTTGACATAACCTTGACATAACCTTGAACAACAACTACTTTCTCTCTCTCTCTTGCGTGATCCCTCCATCTTTGTTCCCCGTTTGTAGACTGACATAACCCTGACATAACCTTGAAAGACAACTTCTCTCTCTCTCTCTCTCGCTCTCTCTTACTCTCTTTCTCTTCATTTTTCTTTCTCTCTCTTGCGTCATCCCTCCATCTTTGTTCTCCGCTTGTAGACATAACCTTATTCAAGTTCCCCTTAACATAACCTTGACATAACCTTGAACAACAACTTTTCTCTCTCTCTCTCTCCCTCTCTCGCATCATCCCTTCATCTTTGTTCCCCGCTTGTAGACCGACAACAAGACCGAGCGTGCACAGAGCGTCGTGTTTACATTTTTTACGCACGTGTTTTCCACGGGACTTAGGTCCCATCTCCACTCGATCGAATGCGAAACGCGCGAAGCGAGAAACAGTTGCGTCCGTCACACGTCCGCCATGGAACGTTGAACGTCGTCCACAGCCTAGCTTCCCGGCTCGTGCATCGAATCTGGCGTAAAATGAAAAGGCAACGTATCGCAGCGTTTTTTTAGCCGAGACTGTACGAGAAGCTCTCGAGAGAAGCTTTTATAAAACAATTAACAATATATAAAAGATGCCCTAGCAAAATATATAATTATGAGAGACCCTATCCGAGCTGTACATGCGTTGGCCGTTACGCTTTAGGTAAGTAGAAACGTTTTGTTTTTATTTATGCGCGCAGCATACCGGGTGGGCCATTTGAAACGAGAGACAGCCGAATAACTCGCTTGTTTTTGACGATAGAAACAAAACTGTCGGACAAAAGTTGTTCGATTTCGAGGGACGCGTAATATTATGACAATCATTCTTTAATAGATGGAGGCGCGTAGAGGGCATACGAAGGTCAAAGTTGTTTTCGCTTTTGCTACATATATATTATTGATTGTCAATTAATTTCGCGTTAACTCTTCGGGCCTTGACGGCGTTAAAAATACCCCGTTTTCTTTGATAATGCGTGACGGGTCATTTTCGACCCACCTCGAAATATTGCAACGGCTGCACGCGCGTTCGTGAACGGTCCCACGTGACACGATGGGACCACTCGAGTCCCATCCTATAACAAAATAAATTGAATTGAATTATTATTATTTTTACGTTTTTATATTATGCGATTCCTTTGTGAATAAAAATATACCAAGATCGTTCGATCTCGAACGCAATAAAAATGTCTGCGCAACATGGGCTCATTTTATTTTCCGAAATCCTGTGCCCCGAAGCGTTAAATTCCGACGCGTTCGATGCCGGAGACTTAAACAAAAAAACGCGCAAACGCTCTCATACTATTTTTGCACGTCTCGCGACCGGACAACCGACACCATAATAATTTTATTATTATTATTATTATTATTATTATTTATTTTCATTATAAATTTGTACAGCAATTTTCTCTGTCCGGCGACAAACTGGTGTCCGATTACCAAAAAGAAAGAAAAAAACATGCGACTGCTGTTCTTCTTAAATATTATTATATTAATTTTTTATTATACATGTCGCGACGACCTGGCACCCCGCTGAAGAGCTTCTAATATCGTAAAACTTTCGTGCAAATGTTTCCAGAAAAGGGTAGCAGCCGCGACGACCCGTTTCTCTCGTTCAGGTAAGATATCGCAAACAGGATTTCGTTTAGAAAAGAAATCGAGTTCTAACGAGAAATCTTGCTATATATAAAAGCTGGATTTCCAAGCTTTCCTTGGAACGAGCATTTCTTGCTCGTTAGAGGTAGTTCTGTTTTTTTCTGAAAATAAATAAAACGTTAGAGGTCGCGTCGAAAAATCTGAGTTCTGGCATACAAGGTTATATATAAATATATATAATATAATATAAAATAAATATAATATAAATATAATATAATATATGAATATAATATAAATATAATATAATATATATAATATATAAATATAATATAAATATAATATAAATATATATATAATACAATATAAACTACTATAAACTAGTTGTAACAACTACCGAATTATAATTATCAATTAATTAACGAGGCTACTAGTCCAATTGTTATAAATCAGCATTAAGTAACAAGTAGTAACTACCATCGCTCAACTACTTTTCGCCCAACTCCGTCTTCCGGTCTTAATTAATTTTATATATTTATCGACCGACGGTGTTTAAAGTTTTTCACTGAAAAAAAAAATAAAAGAAATAAAACAAAAGTACCCTGTACCCTGCGCGTACACCTGTTCGATTAGAGAGTTTCGAGCAGGTCGCCGAGAGACAGCAAGATATATATACATATACATACATATATACATATATATATATATATATATATATATATATATATATATATATATATCATATATATCATATATATATATATATATCATATATATATATATATATATCATATATATATATATATATCAA